GAGAGAGAGAGAGAGAGAATACCGCTGCACATATGTTCAATATCTCAACAAATTATTACAATATATTATAATTTACAATACATTATCAGTGTAAAAATTCCATCTATATTTGGATCTTCAATAAATAATGTATCAATATTCTAAAATATTATAAGCATATACTAGATTGTATTATTTAATCATTTAAAAAATTTTCAATAACGAATTTAATGATATCTCTAAAATAATTCTAGCACGTAGCAGATTATATCATTCTATCATTTTAATGTTATTCCTATTTAAAGATTTCCCAACTATAAAATTAATGTTGTATCTAAAGTATTACAAATAAGCATTTGTATCGTTTTATTATTCTAATGTTAAGCTGATTTAAAAATTTCTGAAATTTTTTACTAATTTAATGTCATTTTTTGCGAAATAAATGAGTTTTGGGCACATAGATTTGCAAGTGAAAGTGACACATAGTTGAACATTCATGTAATTATTTAAATATAATTCGAAATTGATTTTATATTCACACAAATACATAAAGCATGTGATAATATATATACTAGTGTTTAAATCTAAGACGTTAAAATCTGTAGTCATGAAGAAACTAGCAACAAAATGTTAAATTATGAAAATCAAACCAATAATTTGGAGTATATTGCGCTATGAGAATGGAAGAAATGATAATGATGGTAGCGTATCTAAAATATAAATGAGATTAAGAAATGGGCATGTAAGTACTTATATTTCTGCAATGAGAATGTATCTCAATTGCAATATTATGTTTTATATTTAAATAAATTAGAAAAATGTTCATATTTTATCGAAGTAATCAATAATATAGATCATAGTATTAATTATATTAACCATAATCTTCATTAATTTCTTGTACATTATTTCTGAAAACATTATTTATCTGCGTAACGAACGCGCTGTATTGCTTCTATCTGACTCTCTTTATCTCTCCACCACTTCGTCGTTCTTGCTCTCTCTCCTTCCCTCACATCCTCCCTCCCTCGCTCACTCTATCGCGCGCGAAAGCGCTCTTGCTCTCCCGAAATCGTTTACTATACATATTTCGCATCAGATTTTACCGATTGTCTTGATAACTGTTAGGTAGGTTTGAAGGCTGTCAGTATTTACATACAAACAGAAAAACTGTACGTCTCTTTCCTCGATCTCCTCTATCAGACACTTTTCAACGAAGTAATGCTCGCATCGTGTTCAGTTAAATACGTTCTATCACACAGATCAGATCACAATGAGTTTTGAAAAGCGAATTCAAAAAAGGCACCCCTGGGTAGAGAAATGTTTTACTAAAACGGCCAATTTTCGAGTACAGTGTCAAGAACCATCATGCAAAGAGATTTTAAAATACGTGAAGTTTTCAGAATATTCTGAATTTGAGAATCACTTTCGTCAAAAGCATCTAGATTTTTATCAAAGTGAAGAAAATGAGAAGAAAAACAAAGACTGGAAATATTTTAGACTAACAACAGAAAAAAAGAAAGCATGTATTATATGTGATATATGTAAAACCCCAATTCAATTTTCACAGAATGAAAACTTATCGGAACACGTAAAAAAGCATTCAAAATTAGAACGAGATCTAGGATGCCAAAAAAAAGAAAAATGGGGTTGGAAATATTTAGAAAAAAGTACAGATTTTTCTGCTACATGTAAGCTTTGTACAAATGATACAAAAATAGAATTTACTGTAGAGATTAAAAACATGAAAGAGCACATCTTAAACAAACATGAAGAAAAGAAGCACTTAATAGATCCACGATATAAACAATCTTGGGAATTTCATATTGAAAACAACTATTGGTTGATTAAATGTTATAAAAAGCCTGTGGATTTTATAACAAAATGTAAATTTTGCAACAAAGAAATTACATATGTCGACTCTACAAACGCTCAGACACATATGAAAGATACACATAAACCAATTTACGAAACTGAAATGTGGGAAATGAAGGCAGGTAACATAGCCTGGCAATATTTAAGGTTTACGGATGAACAATTAAACGAAATGCAATGTATGATATGTTGTAAAACTATGCCAAATATACGCGAAGCAAATAGTCATATACAAGATGAATATAAACACAATCTAAAATCACGTAATTGGGCTTTTAAATACGCAAGACAACACGCAAATAATGTGACATGTACGATTTGTGAAGAAAATGTAACAGTTAGGGCGAACATTAAACAATTAAAAAAGCATGCAGATACACATAAAAAATACATGGATAAAATAGCCGAAGAAAACCTATTATGGGGTACAATAATAAGGACTGTACAATGGATCTGGTTGGAAAAATGTTATATAAATGTTGAAAATTTTCGAGCACAATGTAAATTTTGCGAACACAAAGTATCATATATCACACATACGCAATTTTTGGAACACATAAAGAACGAGCATGCTGCTCTTCACTCGCTTGAAGAAGAAAAAAATGCACCTGATATCTTCGACGAACCTCAGTGGAATTATATAAGGTACATAGATGATTTAATATTAGATGAAAAAAATCTAGAATGCATCATATGTGGAAAAAAAAACGAACTACCTCACACAAATCATTTTCCACATAAGCTGAAATTCGTTTCTCATTGGGCACTTAAATACGCAAGACAGAATGTAAAAGTTGCAAATTGTACTTTATGTAAAAATGAAGTAAACTTTGAATGGGCCCCGGAAAA